TTAAGACACTAATAACAGGAATTGATATAATTATGTTTTCTATATATAAAGGCCGAGAAAAATGTATAATTTTTATATATGTAAGATTTAACAGTACTCAGATTATTCCTTATAATATATGATAGGTAATTAAGTGAATCGCCTAGATATTATTAAATCTTGCATAAATAAGCGTCACGAACGTTTGTCTCATGCTACTCCAAGTGGTTTATTAGTGTTTGATATTAATACCTGTCTTTGTCTGCATATTGATATTAGATGTGTTATGTTGATTATTATCCTTCTTACCTGATATCGCTCGGTTATTATCTATTAAATCTGTATTTCCCTCGATCGTCTCCGTCTTAATTTCAGTTTATTATATTATAGTCAATGTAATGAGAAGAGTGTAAGGTCACATCTGCAACTCCTTTTACTACAACTTTCATCCGTCCAAATACTTGTTTTGTGATACTATTCGTTAGTGCTGATATTGCAGCGACAATTTATTCCGAAAATAAATTAGACAGATTGAAGAAACTTATCCTGAGCTTATTAAAATCGAATGTGCAACAAAAACAATAATTTAACAATTCAGTATGGCGCCAGAATTGTTTGCTTAAATAATCTTAAAGTTCAAAGGTGTCACTGAACTACTACAAATTGTTAGTGTATAACCGATGCAACATATACTTGCATTTTGGAATCTGTGAAGTTTGTCTATAAGTTTTGGCTGACATGTAGGATTTTGAAAGAATAACACTCAACAACAATATTCAACTGTTTAATATTACTTAATTGAGCTAGTTTCGTTATATCAAAACTTAACAACGTGTACATTCATTATGACAATGACGTAGTCTTCAAGCGGGATTGCAACAGTTAAAAAAATTTGATTAAAATACTATTTTTAACATTTATTCAATATGAAACGTCAACGTTTTCAGAATATCTGGAGGCACCAGTTTCGAACAACACTAACCTGAATATAAGAATCAGCTTTGTTTTTAATGTAATTAGATATTACGTCATTACTTTTTAACAATATATACAGCGGAAAAAAGATATACACCAATTTTGTAACTCATAATATAATCCACCATTTTGCTAACTTTCTTTGTTTATAGTGATAAGTTATGTATAACATTTTATCGTCAGTTTTATTCAAACTTTTAAAATTTAAAATGTAAATATCTCAGGAAGTGCACCTACAGCTAGAAAGTGACTATGTTTTCAAAAGTCCTAATAGTGGTTTTGTACCGATTTTAAATAATTATGTAGATTTAAAAGGGTGGTACTAAAGATGATAAGGTAATCTTCAAAATGTATAGATATATTTGAAACCAATGTAGATATTTGGGTGCAATATTGATTAAGAGACTAGAAGAAAGAAATCCATAATGAAATTATCAAGATAACTATATCTGAAGAATATGCAAGTATATTATTCCATAGATTTTTATTAAACAAAGGACTATTATTTCTTTGTTTTAGTGTTAGTACTATAAAATGGAACATATAATTATTCTAATGACTAGATATGCTTTTGTAATCATCAAACAATCAATAGTTGAGAATCGCGTTTCAGCTGCCTTTGGTATAAAATGAGACACGAGAAGTAGAGATTGATTGAAAAATGACCAGCAAACTTTTCACAATTAGTTCATTAGAAATATCTAAACGATGAAATACACAATATAAGAAAAAAATTGTGTAGTAATAGTTTCAGAACTTAATTCGGTATTAATTCGGTAACGTTACTGAATTATGACATTTTCTGTTCATTTTTCGTTTAAAAAATGCCGCTGATAAAACGGCCTGTGAGAAAAAGACTGATAATATTAAAAATTCTACAAATCAAAATTGGATGGAAGTGTTTTGCATTTTGGTGCAACATATTTTGTATAATTACTACATTATTTTAGATGGAACACAATTTATTTTATCATTGCAATAAGAATTCTATTTATCAATAGTGTACTATTTTCTACTTGAAAAGCCGGCAGTTATTAATATAAAATGGATTTTTTTCTATTATTGCAGTAATAAAATAAAAATAAAGGATGTTTAATTAGTAAAATAAAAAAATTGAAACATCCAAATTGTAAATATCCTGATTGAATAGACACAATTATCCCTGTATCGTTAATTGTAACATCACGGTCACATTACCCTTTCATCATCATTCTGGATTTACAACCCTGCGTGGGTACTAGCCTCCTCAAGAATTTCTCTCCAGTTGTCCCTATCCATCGCCTTCATCCGCCAAGTACATATTCCCATATTTCTCATGCCTTCATCCATGTTATCAAGGAACCTTGTCCTGGGTCTTCCTCTTCTTCTCTGACCAATGGGTCTGTCATTTTGTTCCATCCGCATTACCTGCCCTTCCACCTCATGAGTCCTATCTTAATATGTTTTACGATATTTGGTTCCTGGTATATTCTATAAAGTTCGAAGTTGTATCGTCTTATCCACACTCCATTGTCATTCACTGATCCATAGATTCGCCTTATTTCGCCTTATTTCGAAACATCTTAACATGTTTTCGTTATTTTTTGTTAGAGTCCAGGTCTCGGAACCATGAGTTTTTTAGTGAAAATCTTAAGTAAGTAAATATCATTTCTGAAAATCAGTGTAAATATATATTGACCTTGCCCCACATTACATTTGACTGTCTGGATATATTGAACCTAAAAGCACATTATTATGAAATCTTTTATTTGTAAAACCAAATATGGGTTCTAAAGATATTCCAGTTCAAAACTTTTACACCAGATGTGCTGTATTGCGGTGGCGTAATGTATTGCCACCGGACCCAAAGTGTCTAAGACGAAATTCAAGAAAATATTGACCTAGAAATCGACAAAAGATGATATATCTAAGAAAAGTTGAATTAGAAAATGGAATTGTTAATAACGAAAGTAATTTGAATTTGATTGAACCAACCCTCTTCAATGATTTTAAAATATTTGAATAATTTGTAAAAACACTGACACTATCAATACATCAACTAAGAAATGACCGTTTTTGTATCCATATTTTTTAAGCAATAGAAATTATTAGCTTACCACCTTATCCGAGTAAAAATAGTTCTCATAATAACAATCGTTATATATGTCAAATACTTCAAAACGCTTCGGCGGCATTCATTTCAATGAGGATTCTACCATTGCCCAAAATACAAAAGACGGTTACTACAAAATTCGACCATTTCTCGAGAGTGCATCCGAAAATTACAGAAAAGATATATACAAAATAAATTCTAAATTGATGAAATTATAGATGAATATAACGACACGACGGTTGGACATTTGAGACAATATATATAAAGAATAAATCCCACCATTGGAGCTCAAAATTGTTTATTCATGCTGACGCACCCTGAGGAATAATTGATATTACTCACTATCAAGCCAAAAGAAAGATTTTGATAATTAGAACTACACGAGAACTAACATAAGAAGAATCTGAAGTGAGAGTCGAGCCTAGCACAGTTCTGGCTTTCTGCTAAGTAATATATTTGTTGTATAGTCTTGTTGTACGTGATAAAGAATTATCAAAATCATACCTGGGATGGTGACCACTCAGTACGGAGAAACTGTAGAAGATACAAATAAGGTCGAATATCTAGGAATAATACCAGATAAGCGGCTTACACGAAACGCCCATCTGGAAAAAATGTCTAACAAAGTAAAGCTTTCTCTTCGGATATATGGAAGAATATGTGGGAAATCATGGGGTATGGAACCAAACAGATGTACTGGCTATATATGAACTATAGTCAGACCTATGATTACGTATGGGAAACTGTTGCTCTTGGAGCAATGTTGTGTTGTTGTTGGTGATATAAAGTGATATAGTAAGGACGAAAAGAAAGAAAAAATAGCAAATTTTCCATAATAAAAATAACTATGCTACAACTCACATATGAGAGGAACTGATAAAGCCAATTTACTTTTTGGATTTTTTTTATCAGGTTAAAAGTAAGCACAGTAAGCACAAAAATTCTGGTAGAAAAATCGCTCAACCATACGGGAAAATAGATCCAACACCTTTTTAGATAATATCTAAAAAAATCTTAAACACATAAAAACAATCAATATATATTATACCATTATATAAAAAAAAATTACCAAATTTATACCAAATATCACCATATGGTTACTTTTTCAAAAGTCATTAGTGTACATAACCTCGCATTGTATTATTTCTATTTTTTATTTAAACTATTGGGTCCAATTATTAAACGAACGATATTTTTACTGTTTAGAAAATATGACTTATACAGGTTAAGGATTACCTAGTATTAGTAGTCCAGTAAAAAATATGGAGTAAATAATACATTCATAAAAATTCATATCCCAAATAAAGTATCAAACGAAATGATATTTTTTCAGAAACTACAAAATTAAAATAAAATGTGATAATTAGTTAAAAAGTATATTAACTTGATTTTTCTCAATTCGGACTCTCTTTTACCTTTTTTAATTAATTATATATATTGCTGTCAAAGATATTTTTAATATCATCAGTCATTTTCACAATTGGCTTCGTTTCTTTGAGATATACATATGTGAAATCACTAATAAACAGTAGTAAAGTAGCAATTAGCGGTTCTTGTATATTTCAGTATTTAAATTAACTAGAAACACCCACAGTTGTTTTCAGTTTTCTAATTTTTGCGCTATACATATTGAATGACTCTTAAGTACAAAACTTTTGCAAATTTTGAGAACTAATTACTCTGTATAGAGCCACTATTAGTTACTGAACCGACACATGTCTTCTTGTAAACAAAATATTCTAAATCAAAGTCAGTAATAAAACCATTTTCGATAAAACATCGTCATTAAAAAAGCAAAGTATATTTTCATAAACCGGGAACGAAGTAACACCTATTCTGTATGTTTTGATGGTGAGATTTACATCAAATTTAATCTAATAATATTTTTTTATTAAAAAAATACATTCTAATGGTTTGTCTCACATATTATAAAACATTTAACATTTGATTTGACTAAATGGCTTAAGACATGATTTGATTTAAAAATTATTTGAAAATCACTATTAAAAATGTTAAATGGCGTTACAAAAATTATCATTTTCAATATCTGAATTTACATAATAAACAATCCCGGATCTCGAACATTCAACCAGTTTTGTTTGCAAAACAGGCACCGCTCATACCAGCGAAAAAATTACTGTAAAAACCGTGATGAAAAACATATTTTCATTAACTTTATTAAAAATTATCCTAGTACTTATCCTGGAATAAAAATAAGTTATTAGTCGCTGCCACAGCTATAATGTTTTCAGCGGGATGCCATGCCGTGTGCAATATTTTTTTGTTAAAATCTAAGCAGTCCACGCTAATCTCGTCCTTTTTCCTCTTGCCCTGCGAACAGACCTTCCTAAGTTTCAAGACGGTGCGTGGCTTGGCAACGTCACGAGATGCTTCCAAGGTCAACTCGCGTTTTGTCGATCTGTCGAACATCCGGAAGAAGTTGTTGTATGATCCTGTCATTATGGCTGAGTCGTTGCCATTCCAACAACACTCGAATTTATCGAAAATGCAATCGTTCTCATACAAAGAACACAGTTTGGCTCGCAAATATTCATGTACCTGTAACAAAATTGCATTAGAACATATTTACACCTTAAAGGATACAGAAATCTATGACATTTATATTAAAATCAAAAGATGTAAAAGGGAAGTATTTTTGAAGTGTGTAAAAGATTTTAATTCCCAGCTGAGCGTTTTCTGCTTACAAAGCCTTCTTTCGGGCTGAGGTCAAATATTATGGCTCTGTAAACCGAAAGCGCGCAGCTGGGAATTAAAATCTTTTACACACTTCAAAAATACCTCCCTTTTACATCTTTTGATTTAGTCATAAAATTGTACAAAAACATCTCATCAATCTTTTCATTTACATTTATATTGTTTCGCGCTAAGTTTATTGTGAGGACCACCATTGGCGTATTTAGTAGAGGTAACGGATTTTCTATAGACCTATCAGTCATATCAGGCAGAACACAAGTTTACGTCTGAAATAAGTTTTACTAAAACTCATCCTAAAAGGTTCAGCCGTAATGTCACAAAATTAGTAAATGAATATGTAGAAAAAGAACATATTATGAATAGTGTCGGACTTAACCCATTCACTGCCAGTAGTCAGTTTAACCTCTTAAGCGCGCCGGGTCGCCTACTCAAGTGAAACGCTTGAGTCGTGAATTCGCGTCATTGGCGTGTGGAATGAAAACGTGAATTCGCGTCCTTGGCGTATCATTATAACTCGGTGACAAGTTAACTTTATTAACATTAAAACTAAATAAATAAAAAAAGAGTGTATTTTTAACTTTAATATATTGCTGTATTGGACTGTTAAATTGCAAAAACTAACACAAAATGTTCATTTTCAAAAAAGTATAAGGAAAAGTAGAAGCAAAAAAAGGTTATTGTAAATTCTTGTGGAATACAGGAAAGCAATCGAGGCACAAAGCTGGTTTGTCTACACATTCCAGGCAGCAGTACATGGTGTCCTTTCGTTGTTTTTTGGAGGCACACAATTTACACTTTCTTCTTATAGAACGAAAATCTCCATCTTTATTTGGTTTAAAAATGTTTTGCGGAAAGTCCTTTGTTTTTTGTTGTTTAGAAGCTGTTTCGCCGGTTGTATTTTCTTTATGTGAAAATATTGTAGTACCTTCAGCCTTAAATAGTAGAAGGACATTTTATCTCCTCTAGGATGATTTTTATTATAAAGGCTAAATGCATTAAACAACACAATTTGGAAAATATGTATTCCAAGTTTAAGGTACCATCGCATACTTTTTCGATCGCAACTGTAATAAGAAAATATCTGATCCTTCATGTCAACACCACCCACCCATATGGGTATTGTATTCTGCAATACATCTTGGTTTTTCAAATTGCTGCTTTCGTTTGTTCTCACAAAGAATTTGTTGGGCCTTATGTTCCGTTGATAACATCAAAATGTCTCACTTATCTTTCCATTTTAAAATGTTGATTCCATTTTAATATTTTGAGACAAATTCCCCTTTTTTAAGTTTTGTGTTCAGTGTTTCAGGTGGAATATTTTTTCTGTTTGTTCTCAATGTACCGGTAACATATGTACCATTTTGTAACAGGTCATGTGCTAAACTAATGCTTGTATAAAAATTGTCTACATAAATGGCATGTCCCCTATGAAATATGTTTTCACACAATTTCATCACAACTTTTGACAAATGTCCTACTCCACCAATATCAATATCATTGGCACCAGTGTAAATTAATATTTTTTGAACCATCCCATTAGGCTCGCAAAACATAACAGCTTAATACCATACCTGTTGCGTTTATTTTTTATATATTGTCGAAAAATGAGCCTTCCCCTATAAGGCATCATTGACTCATCGATTGACAAATTTTTCTCCGGCTAGTAGATTTCTTCCATGCGTTGGTTAAACAAATTAAGAAGAGGTCGTATTGTAAACAGACGGTCACTGGGTATGACAGAGACACATCTTTCCATGCAGTAATTCTAGAACTAGAATTCTAGCAACTCCTCTTAAAAAAATCTCCTCTGCAAATTTGTTTATATATGTAAGGAGGTTTTAAAATTCAGGTGTAGCGAATAAATTAAAATACGAATACGGTTCGTCATTCTCAAGATTTAGTGGAATTTGCATACCCGTAAAGTCTATTTGCTGTAAATATTCGTTATCTGTTCAATGCCAAGTATCAGAATCTTGGTTTTCAGCAACCGTAACCTCTTCATCTGAACACGTTTCATTTTCCGTCACATCAGATGTTGATTCGTCGTCTTCAGATTCCTCATCGGAATCTAATTCCCCAGAAATGAGCAATTCCATGGCCTCCTCAGGCGTGTATTTTCTTTTGAATTGCCACCTAAAATTTAAAACCGAACATAACCTCAAATATTTCTGTATCAATCAAGCTAATAAATTTGTAGCGGTTTTAAAATTTACCTTTTTGATTTTTGTCCTTCTGAATGTTCCACTTTATAAGCATCTTTTGATGTACTTAGATATAGATTAGATACTGATAGAACACTTAACAGTTATCTACTTCACCCTCTAACAAAATGACAACTGACCAAACAAACAACCAACCAACCATCTAGTAATATAATTTAAGGTTACCCTACCACGCCAACCAAATATTATACCTGCATATTCAGCGCTGCCAATATTATAGGCAATATACTTTACAATGTCCGAAAACGCGTATTCACGTCCTTGGCGTTACAAATGAAACACAGAAGACACGAATTAGCGTCTATGGCAGTGAATGAGTTAATAAACTTAGGTGAGCATACAAGTGATAGTGAAAGCAATTTTTCGATGACAAAATCGATGACGACTTTTACCAGTATCAAAATATTCATATACAATCTCAAAATGTATATATTTCTTCACACAGAACATTCGTTATAAAGCAAATTACTGAGAAATCACTAGAGTATAATAGATCAGAATTTCTGTATCTAATTGCCCTAAAGAAAGCGTTTCACAGAGTAAGACTCAAAGATGTAATCCATCTGCTGTACAGTTACCCCAAATTTTATAAAAACTATCGAAAACATCTACCTAAACAACAAAATAGAAGTCAGAATAGATGGACAACTTACAGAACCTATTGAAATAGGCAGCGGAATAAGACAAGGGGATTTATTAAGCCCCATGCTCTGCCATTTGATCATGAATGAAATCATCAAAAGCGTTAAAAAAAGGAGGAGTATACAGAATGGGATACAAAGAAATAAAAATATTTTGTTAAGCAGACGACGCAATATTGACAGCCCAAGATGAAGATAGTCTGCAAAAGCTGGTCCACAGTTTTAACATAAGAGCAAAAAAATTTAATATGACATAAAATACCTAGAAATTACACTGTCTAGCTATGGACAAAGAAGTGGGAGCAAGTACAAAAGGCAAAGAGACTGGCAGCATGTCTTAATAACACACGAGATGAACAAGCAGAACTGCTTATAGAGAGAAAGAAGAAGGGAAGAATTTACAAATTACAATATCTCTCCCCCTTAGAACAATATCAATTTAATAACATTTAAAATGTTTTCACCCGTTTAAACATGTATACCTTGTAAATATTAAACCAAATTTGCTTCTTACCTTGATCAAAATTTAACTCTTGTTCTAAAGTGTAACGGGTCAAATAGAACAAGTGATGGAGGTAAAATACTTATCACACTACGGAAGCATACGCTAGCTACGGGAAAGTTCGAAACAGAAGTGGAAGATCAAGTGAACAGAGCAAACAGAGCCGCAGGTTGCCTGAATGAAACAATATGGAGAAATAAAAATATCAGGAAAGAAATGAAAGGCAGAATTTACCAACCATTCATCAGACCAATAATAACATACGCGTCAGAAACACGACCCTACACAGAGATAATAAAAAGAATGCTAAAAACAACAGTGATGAAACCCTTAGAAAAATCGATGGTAGGACACTAAGGGACTAGAAGTACAGATATACGGTGGAGATGGAAGGTGGAGAACATCAAGGACTGGGTAAGAAATATAAGAGTAGAATGTAACGTTTATAATAAGCCGAATGACAACAAATACAGTAGTAAAAACGGCTGGAGACGGTTCTCCACTAGCAAAAAAGTAGGAGAAGTTCATAAATACATAATAAGTTTTTTTGTAAAACTATTTATTTCTGTTCTCTATAAAATTTGTAGTCAACAGAAAAATATAAATTTATTGATTTGTTTTTCCTTAAAAAATATAAATAGAACTACTTTTTTAATAAAGTATGTATGTACTTTTTTAATTGCTACTGTCTTTTTAAAAGTTTAAAAATTCTAAATGCTTCTAAATAAAAAACTTTCAAAAAATAAAAATCCTAAGCAGATAATATCTTCCTACTACCTTTTCCTAGAATTTCCAAATTTTAAATTAGTTGCCCTAAACTGAAATATAAAAAAAAATACATAGAAGAGTAATTTCTGTTCAGGGGCAAAAGCACCATTCATACATCCAAAAAATAATTAAACTTACTGGATAAGTCTCAATAGGTCTGGTCTCCATATGCAGATCCCACACTTTAACAGAAAGATAGTCCCTAGAAATCATATATCTCCCGTTATTTGACAACTTCACATCCGAGATACTAGAAATAATTTCTGAAAAGAAACTCCTATTAGTCGGATCTTCCGGTTCTTCGAATAACTTTGAATGTCTATCACAGAGAGCAGCAGCTCTCATATCACATAACCTAATTGTTCCTTTACTGCTACTATAAACGAACAAATTACATTCTGTAGGATGAAACTCTGCCGCTGTTATGACCTCGGTAAGTTCTTCCATATTTGTTGGTTTAATATCGACGATGTTAAAACTTTGATCGGTTATTTCCAGATGCCACAGATTTATCCTCAGGTCGTCTGCTGATAGGTATGTCTCCTGATCCGAGTTAACAGAAATTGAATTTATGTGGTAGGTGTGTGCGTTTGCAAATATGCGTCGTGGTGACGCTTCAACCATTAACTCCATCGGTTTTATTACTGGAACTCTTAAAGAACTAACGCTAGTAGGATCAACAAGGCTACCGTTTTCTGATTTGGTGTTGTACCTGCAAAATAAGTCAGAGTTTAAAATTTTAACAGCAACGCATAATGCTATTTTATTAGAATTAAACTAAACAGCAATTATAAAAACAAAAAAATCATGGGGAAAAATATACAGTTGTCGCCATTTCCTCTTGTCCATTTTCTATGTTTTGCTTTTTTATATGTTGTCCTCTAAATTCCTTGCTGCCATGGAGCATGCACCAAGTCGTCCGATATCTCCTGTTTTCCTTGTGAATCCATTCCAAAAGCGATTCTTATTGCATTTCGGAAATTAGAACATCTTCTAAAATTGCTTGCTATAATTCATTAAATTGGAAGGTCCGTGGCTTGTGTTCATATATTTTACGATTATTTTAACCTACATATTAAACATATGACTTATATTTGCTTACATGCAGCAGCTTTGATTTTTTATAAGTTTATTATCAATAATTTAAAAAATGGGTTATTAAATATTTGCAAAGTAAACTAAATTTATTTTATTGTATATGTTACAACAGTCAACTATTATTTTCACTTTTATGAAAAGTGACAACGGCATTTATATTGTAGTAAGTTGCATTACACCAATGTAAATGGACTGCCAAGATAGCCTTAAGTATTTCTCAAGAATAATTGCACTGCAATGCGGAAGTGTGTAAAGTGGATTTTTATCATTCAAGACCTTCTGTCTTCCACCCTGTTTTCTCTATCTCTTCACTTATATTTCGATTTAGTTTCATTTTATTAGTTAAGTAACTGTTTTTATTTATTTTTAAGCTTCGATTAACCGCAGAATAATTTCATAAATCATGGGTAAATTAACCTGGGATTGAGCATTCCTTACTTTTATACCCTCGTGGTATAATCTAGTATAGAGAAAACCTAAATGAATATTGAGTTTTGTGGCTCCGTACTCATGACGGTTTTACATCCATTCAGCTAGTCAAGGGATACCTGCACACAATGGGACAGTTTAATGGAGACTTAAGCTACAGACTCTGCGGTAGGGAACTTGAAACAGTCTAATATATCTAAGCATTAGATCGCAGGTCACATCATGAAGAACAGCAAAAGATATGGGTTGCTGGAATTAATTCTTCAAGGAAAAGTATAAGGAAAACGAGAACCAGGAAGGCGAACAATTTCCTGGCTGAAAAATCTACGTACGTGGTTCAACACGACAACCACAAATCTTTTCACAGCAGTAGTGTGCTAAATACAGATTGCCATGATGGTCGCCAACATCCGAAACGGATAGGCACTACAAGAAGAAGATCGCAAGCTCCAAACGCTTAAAAGTTTTATTATTATTTAAAGTATTATTGTAGGACCATTAATTGAACACGAAAAGCCAGGAATCTTATTATTTTAAGCGAATTTAAAAAAATCAACCTACAAAGTCAAAGAATATTTATTTTAAAGCACCAATATATAAAAATGAAAGAAAACCATAAATTCTTAAATATTAAAATTGAAATTATTTGTTTTAATGTCAATAGCATACAAAATTTCAATGTACAAGGAATGATGGTTAGATTGTTTTTATTTATTTAAGTTTTTAGGCATATCCCACAAATGCTACCCTCTATAGTGTTAAGGTCGGGTGAGCAAGCAGGTCACTACAAAATACCGATATCTTCTGATTAAAGGAAATCTGTAGTGACTCTGCTGGTATGTAGAGGTGCATTATCATGCATGAAAATTAAATTTGCACTGCACTTTTTCAGAGTCTAACTAGAAGTTCTAGAACCAAATCAACATACCTTCTAGCTATTAAAGTTGATTTAATGTAAAGTAAAGAAGTTTTTTCTCCGACCATATTACTTCCCCAAACACAGTACTTCCTCCTTTAGGTCTGTGAATAGATCTGGCTGTTCCCGTTCTTATTTGTCTTCTTCACCCTCAAGTACACGAATTCATCGGTCAAATGATTTTACACAAATCCTGATTTCGTCTGGAAATGGCAAATTTTGCCAATTTCCAATGTTCCAGTTTTGGTATTGAAGACACCAATTTAAGCGATCCATCTTGTGCTGCCTGGTTAACTCGGGAATCCGTAATTGTCTACTGTTGTATAGTCCTTGGGCATGAAGTTTTCTTCTTGTCGTTTCAACTGAAACACTTACACCTATCCCTTACAAAAGCTGCTTTTGGAGTGCTTTTTGGAGCCGTTGTTACTTTTGGCGACTTTATCTTGGTCTATTCTTAAGCGTTCCTAACTCCTGATACCTAGCATAGGTTTTTCACACAACGCCCTGTGTTACGCCTACCACTGTAGCTATGTCCCTCTGAGACATTAACTGCTCCACAAGACCAATAATCTTTCCCCTTTGTACATCCGTTAACCCCACATAAGACATATTTTCCTTTTTCAAAACAAAAGTTAGTTTATTTTCGTTCAATTTACAACTAAAACAAAATAATCTATACCGTGACGGGCAATGTTATCTGATTGTTTTATTGGTTTGTTTATTTTCAATAAAAACCATTATTCTTCGCAACAATAACAAGTTTTTTGAAAAGAAATGAATATTAAAGAAATTTCATGTTTTTCGTATATATTTATTGAACCTTTTTCAGTTGTTGTTCGGTTATAATTTATACAAGATACACATCATCTTTCATAAAAAAAAAGTCAAAATTAAGTCACTAGTGATGAGATCTGGGCCTCTGGGTGGCCAAAAAATAAGCTCATCGGAGCCTTTGCCAACCCAGCGTTCAAGGTTCTGCACGAAAATATATTCATTAACTTCATTATTGTAATCCGATGAAGCGCAATCCTTTAAAAGATATATATTTTCACTGATCGGACTGAAAAATATTTGTCCTGTTAAGTTATTGTTCACAATTCCTGGTCAAACAGTATAAATGTCGGTATTGCCATTTCTATTATAGGTAGCAAGTCGAGCAAAATATGGTTAATGAAATTGACATTTTGAAAGATTGTTAAGTCATAGAGATGTCTCTTCATTTGTATCCACTATTGTACAACTACTATTACTTGCAAGGTGCGATCGCAATGTAACTGCCTCGACAATCCTATAATATATTCTCTAATAATCAAATTAGCTCCAACGACAATCAATGGAAAGAAATCATCGTATGCCTATTGTATTGCGATTAGAATATTTTTCAATAACGCCTTGCAGCTGCTGCACTATTCCTCCACTTGTTGAGGATATTCTTTAATAGTGTCGGTAGCAGCAAGTGTCCAAAAGCCGATAATGGAATTTTTTTAAGATTAATGAAAAAGAAGCCAAATCTCGACAAAAATTGGTTTTCCAAAAGAGTCAACAAGGTTTCCAAAACATTATTTTAAACTAATAAGGACCAGAAGGTACCAGAATAAGGATTGAATTATAAAGCACACAAAAATTTGTATGGAGTACACAGATTTCGTTTCTCTAAAGTCCTTCTTACCATACGAAATCCACGTGTTTATTTTGATTCGCGAAATATTAGAAAAAAACAAATGTTCATTTTTTAACTTCAAATGACTATCTTTTTTTGTGTACATTTGTACTAAACTGTTAAGTTCAATAGAGCAATTTTTGGTTCCAGAATATGTAATTTATAAATGTGTTTATGTTTAAAAACTATGGGACACTTAAAAAACAATGGACACAAAAAAATTAATTTTAAATGTAGAAAATCATCACATTGAATAAATCCACTTCCAATTTTTTTAAAACCGTAAATATGTTTAGTGTTAAGTTTTTTACTATTTATATAAATGTACATAATTTAAGATAAAATAAAGTGTTTTTTTTTTTGTTGTGCTGAAGGAAGTTCTAAGATAATTTTGTTTACCTGTACATATGTAATTATATAAAAGAGGGGATTTAAATCTTATAAAAGATTGAACCACTAAAAATGTTTTATGCCGCGCGTCCTGCTCTTTAAAAATATTAGATAAGGAGATTATATACTGAGGATGTTTAGGTTGGATTAAATTCAATATTTTATTGTGTGCATATTTATATGGTAGCAGTATTTATGTGGCCTCGTTGAACTGTTCCGAACATACGAATCCCATTACTTTGGACGAGATAACATAAAAAGAAAATATTTTTCACCAACTTTGAATATGTCGATCATGTATTGAGAGCATTAAAAAATGCAAAGAAGACTTAAGAAAACCCCTCTCGCTGTGTATGTTTCGTAAAATGATTAACACCAAGTTTAATTTGCATTTTCTTGCACCACAAAGATACTTGGAAATACTTTGACAGTCTTAATACTGAAATAAAATCACCTGATACTTGAGAAGAGCGTAAACAGGATGCAAAAGTTGAATTGGAATTACACCAAAGAAAGTAGAAGCAGTTAAAGAAAACACAAAGCAAAATATAATTAAAGCAAAAGAATAACAGCAAAAAATATCAGTTTTAATCTGTGATCTTCAGAAAACGCTTCCTACTCCAAAGTTAAGTACAGGTGTAGTTTATTATAAGAGACAACTGTGGATGCATAATTTGGGCATCAATGATAAAGTCACAGAAACAGGACACGTGTATGTCTGGCCTGAAAATGTGGCATCCCGAGGAGTTCAAGAGATAATTTCATGTTTAATAAACCATCTTGAGACGCACTTGCCTGACTCAACCGAATATCTGATTTTGTATAGCGATGTTTGCGGAGGCCAGAATCGGAATAGAAAGGTGGCTTTAATGTAAAGAAATTCAAGAAGAAATTCAAAAGTGTAAATCATCACTCTTAGTTATAGAACAAAGGTTTTTTGTATCTGGACATAGCTTTAATCTATGCGATCAAGATTTTGGGTTGATTGAAATGGAGAAAAAACATGATCGCATTCTTGATCCCGATGATTGGGTTTCCATAATTCAATCGGCAAAAAAATCGAAAATTCTAGATCAAAAGAATGAACTCACTAGAGTTTTTTAGTAGCAAGTCCCTTGAGAATAAGTCAACAAATAGAAATGATATTATAACTGGCGAAAAAGTTAAATGGCTTAAAATCCATCAGAAAAGGCATCTTAAAAATGAACCAAAAAAATTA